CTTTTGTTACGAAAAGGACATTTTGGCAACACGCATGGGGTCCGTCCGTTCTCGGAGTGGGGGGGGGGGGGGGGGCCGGGCTGGGGCCTCACAGTTACGAGGCCATTGCTTTGCCACTGACTCATGACTGTACACAACGGAGGCTAGGGTAGGGGGCAGCCCTCATAAATTAAAAAAACAAAGAAAATGCAATAAATTATCAATAATTCATTGCGTCTTTTTCCCCCGATCCCCAACAGAAGAAAAAAATCGTCTGTGTGACCATACATTTTCGAAGATTTTGTTATCATTTTGAAACTGTGTGGAATTTAGCCAATACGATCATACCAATTCAGCTCCATTTTCAAAAAAATAAGGTGACCGTTAATTAATTAATAACAATACATGGGCCGGCTGATTGTGCGAAATATGACCAACACGGAATAGCCAACAAAAAGCCAACATCGGTATTGGCTGGAATATTACGTAAAAGCTATAGGCGCTATTTCGTTTTGTTAACGGCTGGTTCAAATTATCTAATATTTGTGGAGGGACACAAACATTAGAAATCGTTATATTTATGGATTTTTCAGACGTCTCTCAACCAATTTTGAGCAAACAAAGACGATTTTGTCACTTAAATTTAAACTGTGCCCCTGGTTGCTCATCTGACCGTAAAACAATTAAATACCTAAGTTTCAAATACAAAGAAACACATACGAATTTATCAAAACAATAGATAACATAAGGAATAACCTGGCTCTTCCAAACCTGGCTCTTCCAAATGTTGTTGTTGTATTATTATTCCAAATGGTCTAAAGCATATATGTAGTGAAAGCGAATGTTCAAATATGAATAATATATGATTTATGGGTTTAAAAAAAGGGAATTTTATGACCTTATTTGCGTAAATTACCATAAATATGCAAATGAGTGAATTTTCCCAAAAAATAAAATTACCATAGTATACACTTCAATTGACATGCTCAGTAATATAAATAATATAAACTATAATATTCGGGGAACTTTTTATACAAGGCCACCATGGGCTTTTCCTTTGTTCTCCCATTTCATTTGAAGCCATTGTATTAACTGAACATTCTTTATATACTTGCAGGCGCGCCGGAAGCAGTTTGGGATTGGGGTGGCAAATATTCCAGGGGGCTCACCTTCCAGGGGCAGTAACGTAATAAGAAAAAACGTTTGGAAAGGGGGGGGGGGGGGTAGAAGAAAATTCTGCATTATACCACCACTCTTACACGTTACATGCAGGTCCCGCGAAACGTTTTTCAAAGTGGAGTATTAACGATCAGGTATAGCGTAAATTGGCGTGGGGTCCAGGGCCTGAGCCCCCGGAAGCTCAGGGTTTTTAGGCATTAAATTACGGTCAGATAGGCATATAGGGGCCCTCTCTAAGTCCATTAATGTGGTCCAGGGGGCAGAGCCCCCGGAAGCTCCGAGGTTTTAATAATTATTCATCTACGGTCAGACGAACATCCAGGGGCCGCCTTAAGGCCTTTGGTGGGGTCCAGGGGGCAGAGCCCCCGGAAGCTCAGAGGTTTTAGGTATTTAATTACGGTCAGATGAGCATCCAGGGGCCCGCCTTAGGGCCCTTGGTTAGGTCCAGGGGGCAGAGCCCCCGGAAGCTCAGAGGTTTTAGGTATTTAATTACGGTCAGATGAGCATCCAGGGGCGCGCCTTAGGACCCTTAGTGGGGTCCAGGGGGCAGAGCCCCCGGAAGCTCGGGGTTTTAGGTATTCAATTACGGTTAGATGAGCATCCAGGGGCCCTCTTTAAGGCCATCGATGTGGTCCAGGGGGCAGAGCCCCCGGAAGCTCAGAGGCTTTAATATTTAACTACGGTCAGATTAGCATCCAAGGGCAGCCTTAGGGCCCTTGGTGGGGTCCAGGGGGCAGAGCCCCCGGAAGCTCAGGGGTTTTAGGCATTTAATTACGGTCAGATGAGCATATTTTGATACCTCATTTGTGACATTGGGAGGTCACTTATTTTTTCTCTCTCTTTTTCATCCCTTTTCTCTGTAACATACTTATTTTTTGCCCGACTGTAAATTTGGGAATTTCTTATTTTCCAACAAACGCATGAAAAGGTAGACTTACACAAAAATAGAGAAAAAAAATACCGGAAAATCATGTCATTTCAGCAACATTTGTAAATCACTGGTATCGAATAAGAAATCACCCCCACCCCTCCCCCCCCCCCCCCATCACCAGCGTTCAGGGGCTCATGTGATCTCATCCCTATAACAAAAAACAGACATGCTTTCCCATTCTCTCACAATATGTCCATGATATGCGCGTATCGCTATTATAAAAACCTCCGTTGATGAATATAGGTGGCATGCGCATGCAATGTTTAGGAAATTTAATTTCTGTTAACTTTCCTTGTCTTTGAATGGAATTATATATGTAATTTAATTCAGGTTTTTATTATTGTAATGTTCTTTTGGATTAAAAATACAAACTATCTTTACTCCTTTACTGCTTTTTTTTTTTGGAGGGGGGGGGGCGTTTTTTTTCCCCTGCCCCCCCCCCCCCCCCACTTCCGGCGCCTATACTTGCATTTGCTGTGTTTTTTATGAAAATGAAATGAATAAACGAACTTAAACTTGTAAATTTTTCGGCGATCGGCCGTTTCACCTCCGTGATCTTAGGGTGGGGGGGGGGGGGGGGGGAACGGTTAAAGGCTAGGAATTGTCTCTTTAATTCGACATTTGGTATTTCGATTTGCCGCTGTCGATTTGAGAAAAGGAAAACAAAAATGAAATAAACAAACAGCAACAACAATAACGACAAAAACATGAATTATGGCGAAAGTCAGCGGAAGAAAAAAATGCTTCTTTGAATGATCGACTCCCATTTTTGCACTGCCATAGACCGGAAATCAGAGGGGAAACATTTAACGGCCTCTTGGAAATTTGATGTGACGTACAAAGATATTAAAAAAAATCTCAACCCCCCAAGAGGGACATTTTTTCTCCAAAATAAACAAAAAACAAAATTAACCCCTTTAGTGAAAGCAAAACGTATGTTGTAATCTCACAGGCCAAGTAAAGGACTTCGTCCATGAAATTAATGTAAAATTACAAAGGGAACTTTTCATATTTGGATAGGGGCACTTATCAGAGGGAGAAAAGGGCACTTATGAGAATAGGGGGAGGGGCACTTATTAGAAATTTCAGAAGGGCATTTTATCTGAAGTAAAAACAGTCGCAATTTTCCCAACATAATGGGAGGCACCCCCCCCCCCCCCCCCCCCCCCCCACGGAAGCGCCGCCTCTGATAGGAAATTGATGGGCTTTTCAAAAGTTGGTTCACTACTGCAGAGTTGACTTCATTCGCTTATCTCCGTTTTTTGCGCGAGCAACTGTGTACTATATTTCGTTCACACGCCGTACGCTTTGACCTTTGATGACGTGCCCATTTAAGATCGCGCGTATATGGCGTGCCGTATGACCAATTATTCAGTTAAACACTGTTTATCGAGCGAAAAACAAGTTATCGAAAAGCAGAGTTATTCGTATTTCGCCGGGAGTGGGCGCTTTTCCAAGTATCACTTAAAGAGATTCGATCATACTAGTATTCCTCCGAATGCAGACTAGAGGGGCATGCAGCTAACTTATGACCTTTGAAAAACCATAGGTTTAGCATGGGATGCATTATTATTTGTCCAATTTAATTGAACACGACTGGAGGGTCAATCTTTATCCATGAGCAATGACTTACAAAATAAGCTAATTATTGTTTGTTGATTGGCCATCAACAACATTTTTTACAATAATAACGATAATCATAATGAAGATATAGCTGGTAACAACAATAATAATATTGGTATTAACAACAATAATCATTCATGTTAAAAACGACTCATGGGCCCATGAATAGTGACCCTTTTCTAAAATTATGAATAGCGTTCCTTATGAATAGCGAGGTTACCTTGTCATGTTGACACTATGTTATTTTTTCATTTAACTTTGCCCCCTTCCTCTCTATTGTAGAATTTTTTAATATTTTTTTTTACTGCATATGCTTTTGCCCTGCTTACTCTCTTACTATATTTCCTCCATCTTCCTCATTTGGAAAGATGATCATATCCGACATCAAATCTACCTTAATTAACTGGTAATCTATGTGTTCTACATCTAAATTTACTTAAAGTTAACGCTCCCTTCTGACATAATATCCCGGGATAATATCTTCAGGTATTTTTCATAAACCAACTTATTCTTAAACATCCTATAGTTCGTGCAAATACGATTTGACCAGGTAGCTGCACTCCATTCCTTAATATACATATACAATTTTTTTTATGGAGGCGCAATAGCTCAGTCGGTAGAGCAGTGGTCTCGTAATCCGGTGACCTGGGTTCGAAACCAAGTCGATGCGCTAGTGCCCTTTGGTAAGGCATTAATCCTCATTACCAGGTCCCTCGGAGAGGACCTAAAGCCGTCGGCCGTCTGCATGGTTGCGTACTAACAAGCATTTATGCTTTCTTAGCAGTCAGGTAAAATAACCACTACCACATACATGTCAGAAAGCCTGGTTTCATAGTACATGTATTTATAATCCAGGCAGCACTATATCCTTCTACTAGAGCTCGCCAGATGTTCCCAAGTCCAGCATAATCAAAACTGTCTGCAAGAAACTCAACCCATTGTGACTTAATTTATATAAATTTGAATACTTTGATTGCTTCCCTTTAACTAATCTAACCCAATAGCCAATAATTCTACACTTAATTTTATCGAGTAGGCTATTTTACCACGTCCAGTTTCACCATAAACCAGTAAGGTGTGCACTTATATTTTGATAAACAGTGTTTATCGCTCGATAAACCCTGTTTATCTGAATTATTAGTCAAACGGCGCGCCATATACGTATGCACGATATACGCACGGCTACGCTAGCGCTATGCGCTCGTATAGCTAGCTAGAGCAAATCTTCGATCGCCAATAATACAGTGCAAGCGCTGCGCATGCATGTACAGTGCAGATGTATGTGCAGTCTGTGAACAATGGCATCTACCAAATCGTGACGATTTATCTTTCAATAATTCGGTTTCTCGTGAAGAAAAACAAAGCAGAACACAGAGATGCCTACCACAGGAGGTAACGACGAAAGGACTGGATCTCCTCGGGATAGTGGTGACGAAAGTGAAGATGAGAGAGAAATCTTGGAAGAGAGTCCTTGTGGAAGATGGCAGAAGAGGCGAGTGAAGGTGAGAATCAATCGGTTCCGTGTAGGCTAGCTAGGCCTATGCCTAGCATCCAAAACTACCGGTAACACTATGACTAGACCTACAGGCCCACTATAGACTCTAGATCTATAGTCTAGGCCTACTAAGTAGACTCTACTTTCTATCTGTAACAGTATAAACACTAAACACATCAATTTAAAATGCACATGACACCCCCTCTAGACGTTAGTGGGGCTTCTAAGCAATGTCTGGACACCAATTCTGAGATTCTGAGTAACAATTAGGGCCTTATTTATCGTCATCAAACTAAGTCCCCCGACGCAGACGCAATAAAGCTAGCTGTGTAGGCCTAGACTAGAGTCTAGATCTAGAGAAATAGGGAGGCCAATACCCGTGGCCGTGAGTAAGCGCTCTCTTCTTTTTCTTCCAGTGTTAGTGCTCCTTCACCTTCAAGGTGATGAAGATAAACGCACTGGCTAGGAACAAAGAACATTGCCATTGAGCGCTTTACAAATGAGTTTACGGTCTCATTGGCCGATCCGCTCGAGTGGCTTCGAATTTAAGTGCGAGAGGAACTACTTTACTTCAGCGCAACTCAAGTTTAATGGCGAAGTGAATACTTAATTACGTCACACCACAGAGATTTTGGTTTTTCGCAAGCCTCAGCTCAAGGGATCACAAATTATTACAGTTTGAAAATACTGTTCCCCCCATTTTTCGGATCAGCTTAGTAGGGAGACATGAGCGCTGCTCAGCCCAAACTAACCCTGTAAGTTGGGGCTTTGATCGGATCGGAAGATGGGAGTGAAACCCTCGCACCTTTGATCGGTATTATTTTTAATGCCAAAAATTTTCAGGTTTTGGGCTATCAAATGCTAAAAAACATGCATATGCTGGGATTATTTTTTCTTTGAGAGTTGTTGTAGATCATGTTTTTTTTATATTAAGTGCCTATTCATGACTTTGAAATTGATAATATGAGTCCAAGAATAGAGGCAAAACATGCGAGCCGCCATCTTAGATTTCAATGACAATATTAGGGTGTCTGAACGATTTTTCAGTTTTTTAATTTGGGATCGTTTTTCACCAACTTTGTTTGATATTTGAACAAAAAATGTAATCAGAATAATACATTTCAAATTTCAAGTCTCACCGATGTTTCTATCAAAAGATACAGCCCTTTAAAAACGCTGGAATATTCATATTATTTTGGTCAGAATCGACGAAAAAGACACAGAGTTATGTTGTTTTGCTAAATTCAGCCAAACAGCTGTATCGCGTGATATGCAAGCGTATGCATAGCGTACGCATGTTATGCGCAAATTGCAGCTTGAGCCACGTTGTCTCCGCGATATTTGCCATTGACTAGTGTGGCTAGCCGTTCGCACAATAAAACCCGGAAGTGAATACACGTTATAGTCAATTGCAATATACACGTTATAGTCAATGGCAATATCCCGGAGACAACGTGCACGTTGAAAAACAGAAATTCTGTTTTGCCGTGGACTTTGTACACATGAAAAAACTAAAATTCTGTTAAACATAAGATTTTCATTAAAACATGAACTTGTAGGGTACAAATGTTCTATTATAAGTATTAAAAGCCACCACCTTTGACAAGCCACTGATAACCACTCAAAAACATACGGACGGGACTGGATAAACTTGATGCAAAGTACTATAGTGAAAATATAGAGCCCTACTAGGGTCTAGGTTAGACCTACGAAAAATTATCAAATGTTTAGATTTACCAACTTCAAATTCGAACTTAGACAAGCAGACTAAAGTTAGCGGAATGTGTCGGAACACAACATATTCCTGATGGAACGATACAGTACTAGCCTACCGCCGACGTCCACGAAACATTTCAGTCTTGGCTGTAATGTCAGCGATCCGCGATCGATCAATTTTAGGCGCACTTGCCAGCCCCTTTTTCGAACTGTACAACAGCGTGTGTACAATATCGTGCACCTAGCGCCCACTGCTGGCGTGTGTGTGCCTAGTATTACGTCTACGTAATAGCGCCCCTAACGATCTCTATTAGTCCAGCGAAACGAAATGGCAGCGCCCTGTCTCCTGAGATATCGCTAATTATTCAGAATTATTAACCATGATTTTAGGCCGGATACTTTTTCACTGCATAGTCACAAAAATAGTGTAAGTTTTACAATTTTCTTCTTGAAAAATGAAAAGTTTTGAGGTAAAAGGTGTTTTCCGCGATTTTCTGTTCGAAATTGCATTTTCTGTGAATTCCGTCCGTTTTCCATGAGCGCGGAAAATCAGTGTCCCTACACAATGTTTAAATTGCTGTTTTGACCAAGATATTTTTAGAATTCCGAGATGCAGCCCCTTTGGAAATATGGGGATTCACCTGCTCTTTCATATGACAGCTCATTTATTGAGTATCACCTTCAGGATCACAAAGAATAAAGGTTTGAATCTCGATTTGAAAAAAAAATGTTGACTAATTTTGCATGGTCGCGCAATGCACGTAGACTGCATAGCATAGGGATGCGTGCAATCTCTATGGGAAGAATTTTAGCAGACAACATCGGGTGCGCGATCAGACACCCTAACAATAGACAAAATATTAGTGCCTACATTATAATGATAACTGGTCTCACCTGCGTAGCAAAAAGCGAGACATACAGTACCGTAAATCTATGTGTATATAAAGACGCACCCCTATTTTTAAGCAGAAAAAAACAAGAAAAAAATTGAGAAAAAAAAAATCCAGAAGAAAAAAAAAATCTGGATTTTTTTGTTGCTTTTTTTGCTTTTTGTTAAAACCAGATCAGATCGCGTCTTATTTCAGCGTTAGGAAATACTTTCATTTTATTACGAGGCACAGTTGAAGTGCTTGTGAACTAAGTTACACCTTAGTGCAACAACAACATAATCCAGCAGTCAAAACAGCACGTCCATTAGAACATATGGGACTACCATGACTAAACGATGGTACAAGACATTTCTACCGACAATTTTATGTTGCATTGTTGCATTGTTGATATGAAGACGAAAATATACTGTATAACTTATTTTTGTAATATAATCTGCTGGTAGATCTAGATCTAACTCTGTACCATTGCATCGCCAAAAAGGGACAGATCGTTACTTACAGAGCTAGCTACCACGATGTGCGGTGTAATACGGAATTGCATGTTAAAGTCGCAATTCCGTATTACACCGCACATCGTGGTACCATACCAAATCTGCCTGCGATGCAGTACTAGCTTAAAAATCAATGAAGATCTTGGTAAATTACAATCATTTTGGAGGTAAACTTCTTGTAAATTTATAAGAATATCAATGAATTTGGTATCAGTTTGTAGAAAAATTTCTCTCCGAGTCCAAACAGAAATTTGGACAGGCTAGTTTTCGAGTGGTGGTTTGATATCCCCCGTGTAAGTGAGCTGCATGATAAAGGTGAGTGAGCTGAAGACAGGGCAGAGCTTCGGCCGGCAAAGTGCTTTGTGAAGGGCAT